GTTTCTGCTTTCCTCTGTACAAAAAAAAAAAAAAAAAAAAAAAAAAAAAAAAAAAAATCAAAGCATTGCAGGCATTACTGCAACCGATTGCCAGCCTTCTGCAGATCAGCCTGGAGAGGAGGGTGGAGGCAACCAGTCCCGGGACCCACAGCAGGCCCAAGTCACCACCAAGTCACCGATTCAATCCTCACCCATCCCTGCAGCAAGTTCCCCAATCAGAAAATCAGCCCCAATAACTCACACTGCATCATGTCTTTTTTTTTTTTAAATGAAAAGGACTCAAGGCATGAAGCAGAAAGGATCTGAACATCTACATTCACAAGGGTACAAGGCGAGGTGGAAATCAACATGAGAAAGCACAACGTTAACCTTGACCTGTCTTTCCGAATCCATGGCTGCATGTCTGCCCGGAGCCAGCCCCAGTCCAGCTCACCACAGCCTTGCCCGGTTCTCTGGCAGAGGCCAGCCACCGCCGTGCCTGCTGTAGACTCAGTCCTGCAAGATCCTGGAGCTGCAGGCCATCCCCTGCGACCTCGGAGGGAAATTCCTGCTCTGAAAGGGAACTTTCTTTTTGAGGCAAGAAGTTAAAAAAAAAAAAAAAAAAAAAGGCAATGAAAAATATGCAAACTGCTTTTCCTGATGCCTCAGAAGAATCCGAGCATGGTCTCGCTCTCGGCCAGCTCGGCGCTGGGGAGCTGAAAGCACTTGTGCCTGACCCATATGTGGCGCGCGGTGGGAACAATGGCTGTCTTTGACAGCCTGTGATTAGGAATTCCTTCCAGCGCAGGCTGCACATACTAAAACACCGCGACCCCAGCGCAGCAAGGCCGGTCAGAGCCATCCGCGGCCGGGTTATAAAGCAGCCTTGTTCCTGCCCGTGTCTCGGCGTTCATTACAATGGTCCAGGCTGACGAAAACAAAAATAACTCCGCTCACTCAAAGATAAACCTCACTTTAATATCCCCCAGACGGTCGCTGGAAACCGGGACTGGGGATCACACGGGCAGAGCGACATGTTCTCATCGGCAAAGACCGGAATGTCACACGCCGGATGTCCCGGGATGCTCGTGAAGGTTCCTTTGGCATTTCCAATGGAAAGGAAAAAGAAGGAAATTTTCTGTGTAGTAGAGATTTTAGAAATTAGTTTAAATTAAGATGCCCACGAGGGTCCCAGCCTATGCAGGAAGTGACACTGTTGGCTGCGTCTGTCAATATGTCCTGATCCCGGGACGCGCTCCACAGAGGGAGGTGCGGTGGCTTGAAATTCACTAAACGCACAGGCTTTAAATCAAGCATGGGGGGTGGGCGAGAGGACCAGGGTAGGGCTTCAAGGAACAAGCAGTGGCCTCCACACAGAGGACCGAATTAATAATGCCCCCAAAGACTGGGTTGTGAATCGCCCAGGTGAGTAGAGTGTGACCCTCCAGAAGAAGGCAGAAATTCCAGTTATGGAAATGAGGGGAGTTTACTTGTAGGTCAAAAGTTAACCAGGACTTGAACAAAAGCCCGGCCTCACTAGTGGAAAAGGAAGAACTCAGGACTCACCGAAAAGGATAGACTGAGATGGGATGGGTTTCACGTTTAATATTGCTGGGAACGCAAGTCATTGTCTGACATCATGTACCTACTGAGATGTGATCAAATGGCTAAAAAAACGAGTGTCACTTTTTATTTATTTTTTCCTTTGGAGAGATTTTTGCTATAGGGCGTGTGCACTCCCTAGGAAGACAGAGAGAGACAGAGAGACAGAGAGCAAGAAATCACCCCCCAGGGCGGATGGCCACGCCGCAATCCCTTCTCTTCCATTATCCTCTCGGGATCTTGGGCACGCATGCACATGCACCTGGCGTGAGTTTAAGCCACTGGGTCCGGGACTCGAACCGTGGTCGACTACCTGGGAGTCCAGCGACATAGCCATTACGCTAACTGCTGGCCCCACGAGCAACACTTTTATTGAACACTTACTAAGGTGCTTTGAACATGGCGAGTGTTGCAACATTTACTATGTGCCATGAACATCACAAGTGTGGGACACTTTTATCCAACCCTTTCCTAGACGCCATGTGGCTACACACAATGCTTTTTAATACTCTGTGATTTAATCCTCGCAACCACTGATGTGGTTAGCATTATCCGTATTTTACAGAAGAAGAAAAAACAAATACAAATTAGAGAGGTTAAGTAACTTGAGGCCACACATTAAGTGGCAAAGCTGTAATTCCAATATAGAGTCTGTCTCCGGATTCCAAAGGATGAACCTAAAAGTATTTTATTATCTTTGGTGTCATCAGAGCTGCCACCCTGAGCACCTTCTCTGCCTCCGGCCAACGGACTGCCTCCTTGGACGGTGGATGATATTAACCTGGGTGACGGTCCTTGGCTAAATGTTGTCTAAGAGTTCTCAGAAGCCAGACTGACTAGATTTCAATCCCGACTCCATGCCTTGTCAGCTGTGGGACCTGAAGCAAATGACTTCACCTCCCACGACTTCAGTTTTCTCATTTATAAAATGGTGCTATAACATCTGTCTAGAGGCCAGCAGATGGTGTAGTGGTTAAGGCGCTGGACTCCCACATGGCCAACGGCAGTTCAAGTCCCAGACCCACTGGCTTGAAATTCAAAGCTGGTGCGTATACATGTGTGCCCAAACTCCCGACAGGAGAATGGAGGAGAAAGGATTGTGGCATGGCCATCCTCCCTGAGGGAGTGATTTCTTGCTTCCTCTCTCTCTCTGTCTCTCTAATGAGTGCACTATCTCTATAGCAAAAATCTCTCTCTTAAAAAAAAATAACATCAATGTCATGGGATTACTAGGAGCATTTGATGTGTTAGTATGTGGAAGGCATTCCAAACCTGCTTAATGCAGAGTAAGTACCCTCAATGTATCAGCTGTGGTTATTATTACTCCTGTTCATTCACTCAGCTATGTAAATATCAATACAGAAATATTACAACTTGGGAACCAGCAGTTAGCGTAATGGCTATGTCGCTGGACTCCTATGTAGTCGACCGCAGTTCACGTCCCGGACCCGGTGGCTTAA